TCCAGGGATTCTCCTGCTCCCACTGCCCTGCGGAGCTGCCTCCTTGCTCCGAAGCTTCCTTGCAACCCCAGGTCACCTACACCCCACTACACGGATCACCCCATCTGGGGATGTATGTGTTTGTGCGCGATATGCGTCAGCCCAGACTGTTCCACCGCACTGGTACACTTACCCTTGGTGGAAGATTGGGATGGGGGGGGGGGTGCCTTATGCATGTCACTACTACTTACAGCCTCCTCTGCTTGCTGTCCTTTATGACTCAGGTAAACCCAGCGAACTGACCACATACACCCCTGCTGAGGTTTAATATTTCCTTGTCCACAGGCTGTATTGGAACCCCCGCGCCCCACCCTGCCTAATTCTGGGTTCTTTCACATTTTCTTTCTAAATAGCTGTGAAAATTGCTAATCCCTTCCCACAGTAAACCCTGTTAAATACCGAACTGCCCTGTTGAAACAATCACTACCTTTCTTTGACCACATTCCCACTGTCTGAATATCGACCTCCCATTTCATCCATCACCCACCCAGTCAGTGTTGGCAGTACTTAATTCTTAGATGGCTCAAAATGGCATTTTGGCCTCTAGCAAAATGACCTTTTGCCTCAGTTTCCGTATTTGTAGGGAATGTAGAATCCTTAAAACATTTTTAGGTGAACTCAAAAAAATAATAATAATGTATTTTAAAATTAGCATATTAACATATATTCAATGAAGTTTTAAAAGAACCACTATTTAAAAGTTTACTGACTGCAAAAACTGATTTTTGAAATGCATCAAATATTAGATGGATTGAGATTGATGGGTTGATAAAGTAGACAGAGGGATCATAGAAATGTGATAAAGTATGCATATAGTATAATATTAATGGTAGATTCTAAGTGGTGGCTATACAGGCATACACTGTAAAATTCCTTCAACTTTTTTGTAAGTTTGAAATTTTTCATAATGAAATGCTATGAAATAAAAAAACCCTTATTTGTGGTAAACAAATAATGTAAATTTTCTATTTAGAAAATTGATCAAGTAGTAATTCTTCCCTTTTTACAAAATGATTTACCATACACATTCTATACCTAGGTACCCCACTGCTACTTAGTCAATCATTCCATTACAGGCTGCTTGGTGGGGATCAGACTATTGTGTTATAACTAGAACATTTTAGAATTTGGAAGATTTTTCTTGTGTTTTTTTTTATGTTCATGTCCATTCTCAATTTTTTTTTTATCTTCCCTGCCTTTAAAAGTTTGTTATTATAAAAATGAGATTGAATTCTTCAGCATCTATCGATATTCTTTTGAAACTTTTTCACACCAAAATAGCTTCAGGAGATGGTCCGCATGTCCATACATATCAGCTTCTACTATCCTTTGGGAGAGATGTCAGGGGGTCTTGCAATTAATAATGGGTAAAACTTTGCTTTTGGATATCTGAGTATCTAAATATTTGTCCAAACATTTCAACAATTAAATTTCCACCTTCTCTTCATTTTCTTTTGCTGGCTGTAAGACAAGAGGTGGCCCTGTGCCACTCTTGAAGGGAGAACAGTTCCAGGATGTGTGGTTCCCTCATCTGAGGAGAAGGTGACATTGATTTTGCTAAGAATCAAAGATAGGGATGCAGGGGTTTCTGGTTATTTGGATTACTTTCCATTCCAATGCTCATTAATAAAGAGCCCAATCAACTTTAAAAAGCGTACACCCAGAAATGTCATTACTTGTTCTTAAGGCTGTCCTTTAAAAAAGTTTGTTCTTTTCATCCTTTTAGATATGTATTTTTTTTTCTTTGCAAAAGAAAGGAAATGTTTGTGGTGTGTTTTTTTTTTTAAGAGAAATAAGAATGAAAGGAAAAGCACAGAAAAGGACATTAACTTCATCTGCAAATGGTCAGAGATTACTTACAGCTGCCAAATAGTCTTAAATCTTGAAGTGGCATCAGATATCTCCCTTTTGACAATTGTTCACCCTTAGTTCCAGTCTCCGCACCATTGGACACCTCCTTCCCTCAGCCCATTAGTGTCAAACTCCCTGAGGTTTGCCACATTAAAGTGCAGGACTCAGCATTTGCAATTGACATGTGACATCACATACTCTATTATATAACTTCAGATACAAAGCCTAATATAATCTAAGTGTGTGTCAGAAAAAAATTCTCCCTTCCTCTTTAAGTTTTAGCAGAGTCAACCATTGGTTCCATGATTCTAATCCCATTTCTTCAAACAGTGGGGGAAGGGGGAGGAGAGGAGACAGGGGGGTTTGGGTGGGCGGATAAGCACTGAGTTGTTTGAGCCATGAAATCATAACCCCCCCCAAATGAATATATTTTGAAATGTATTTAAATACCTCTCCTTTATAGCTTTACTATGGACCAGAAAGTAAAGACCATTAAGTATCATATAATTTAATTCAATAATTTTTAAAAGCTAAAAGCTAAGCATTTGGTCATAGTTAACTTCATTAATAAGCCTAGCCACGCTGGCATTTTTTTTTCTTTCTTTCTAAAAAGCAAGGCTTCCCTCCACCCCCACCCCCTGTCTCTTACCAGCTGTTGGGAAGAGTTGAGAAAGACAGAGTCAGAGAGAGAAAGGAGGGGGTTGTTAGAGAGAGAAGATGAATCCGGGAAAAATATAAGATAGAACTTCTTTGTTTATTGCAAAACACACATGTTACAGTTTATAAACACTGCAAGCAAATAAGAAATTGTGGACCAGAAGATAAATACAAAACATATCAGGATTTTTGTTAATATCCAAAATAGACCAAACTCAATATTTGAGACAAGTTGGAATATTTTTATTAGCTTTGGTTATTCATTAATTTCTGTATCTGTTTACCTAACTATTTATTCATCTGTCTACCTTAATTTCATTATAGTCATTTTGAATAGAAAATACACAAGCCTACTACATTTCTATGGCTAGATTTTGAGATGACAGAGCACCAAACAGCCTATGCATCACAATTAGCATGCCATATTATTAAAAGCAAATCAGATTTCACTGTGCCTACACCGATGTTCTAAGTTTAGAAATAATGTACAGTGGTTGAAAATGGGGGTGGGAGGAGAGACTTAGAGCAGTTTATTTTTTAATAAAAATAAAGATATTTCCTATTGCTTTTCTTTTTTCTCTGTTCTTGTTCTTGGTATAGTACTGGAAATTCAGCAGGTTTAAATAACTGTGCTAATCTTAAGGACATAACCGCATGATTTGAATGCTCATTGGGATTACGGATCGAGACTGTTTTCTGATGTGATGTGCAATAACAACCACAGAAAAGTGAAACAATCCAGTGGGTCAGGTGTGGGAAACAAGAGTCTCTGCTGAACTTGGTGAGAAACTCATTTAGAATTTCTCATTAGGACTTCACAGGAGCTTTTCAGTAGTTGGCACTGTATTTTTAGCAGCATTTTAACAGCTGTCAGTAACAACCACGACAACATTTTG